ATTTCATCAGACGTGTGCCGACCCCCCTGCGTGGGCTTTTGTCCGTGCCACGCGTCTGCCTCAAAATCACAACCTCCTGCACCCCTTTGGGCGTGAGTTACCTGCCATCTGTCCGACCCTACAATTAAACACCCACCCCGGGAAGGAAATACATGGGACCAAAAATAAAACAAAAAAATTACGCGCGCAAACACGCAGACGCGCATACAGGGCAGTGGTCAAAAAATAGTTGAGAACAAGGTCATCAAAGTACAAGCACTCACATCACTCTTCTTTCCATACATAACCCTTTGATCTCAGCGTGATATCATAAGAAGTGGCTTAGAAATTAACTATCGGAACAGCGGTGACATCTTTGGAATCTCAGTCGCAAAAATGCTTTGATTGCAGCTTGTGTGTGTGCGCATGTATAAAGACAAAGATCCCCCGTATAGCCTTAACAGGCTGTTGGGGCAAGTGTTGTTAGTGAGCACCTATTAAGGCCGGCACGGCACACGAGGGGGTGGGTGGCCAGCATCACGCCCAGCCGCCTTTGTCTCCTTAGTGGCGATGCTTTTACACACCACACCAGGTATTCATGTAGGCTGAGTCGACCTAGGGGAGGCCCAGGACCCGCTCAGATAATGGCCACTGATGTTGGTAGCCATGAGCGGGAATTGAACTCGGGTGACTGGGTTCGTAGCGTAGCGTGCTAACCACTTCACCAAAACGCTTACACACACTCAGGCACGCATTCATTGCACATGAAGCATAGTAATTTTTTTGAACACTGATCAAGAATACATCTGGTTAAATTTGCAGAACTGCGTGTCTCCCCAAAGAAGAGCAGGGGTCATGTATCCGTCTCCTCGCAACCCCCCCCCCCCCTTCCCACACCATGAATATCTGAAATTCAACCGTCCGCCTCACAAGTGCTTGATGAACCCTGACCTCTGAACCAGGTCCCCCCCCCCCCACACCCTTGGCAAGTTGGGTGATGCTGGCGAGTGGAGAGGAGAGGAGGGGATGGAAGGAGGCAGAACGGGTTGGAGATGGGAGCCGGGAGGGGGGAGCATGGAGAATGTGGTGGGTGGGTGGACGGGGGGGGGGGAGTAGGAATAACGCAGAGTGTAAGCAGTGGGGGGAGGGTGGGGTGTATGGAACGGCGTTGTTGGATGCAGGGGGCTCGAGGGCACGGGCCAAGAGTAAGGTCACGAGTGTTCTCAGCTGGCCGGCCATAATTTGCCGTGGAAGAATAGGAGATGGGACGGTGATCGAGGGAGTGCATCAATTTTTCATGAATTTTCATTTACACTGTCAGCACGTCACGCTGATCAATAGATCAAGCTGTCAGGAACAGTGCCGCTTGAAGAGGGCAGCCGCCACCGTGACCCCAGATCCAAAACCCTAACACATGTTAAATATAAAAATGGCTCACCAGAGAATAATCCAAGCGCAGCAGCCGTCGCTCTGACCCGCGATGCATAAATAAAAATGCTAAGTCGCCGTTAAGTTGATTTTACACCTAATTGTCAGCCGGCTTTCCCAAAAAACCCCCGCAGACCGGGGACGTCACTGTCCCGCAGCCTCCACCCTTCGCCGGCCTCAATAATCAGGCCCCCACCCCGGCAGCCACCTTGCGTGGCGCACGCTTCCAGCTGTGGTGCATCCCCCCCCCCCCCGGCCCCACCACAGCTGCTGTAGGTGAGTGGAGTTCAGATGCTATTCCAAATGTAGAAGCATCTCCAGACCGATGTGTTTTTTTTTTTCCATTTAACTCGCGCACGGAACTTTTGACTGTTCGTACGAGCGTGTTCTAATCCAAAATGACACGAAAGGGCTTGCCAAGCATGCGAGTTGGTTTTTATTTTGGCAGAAGGCTGTGAACTGCCGTAACCCGATGTGTGTGCTGGGAGCTGCTCCGCTCGACTCGAGGCCAAAACCGACGCCAGCCAACGGCCGGCAGACCGTTTGATGTGACGCACCGCTACAAGCGGTGAAGAGTTCACTCCCAAACGTGGGCCGTGAGCCACGACGTACTGGGCCAATGTGGCCAACCGTCGCCTCCAATGTGGCCAACCGTCGCCTCCTGGGGAAGGGGGGGGGCCCTCGCATGGGGCCTTCTCGAGACGACCGCCAAAGGGATGGACGCGCCCCACGGGGGGTTTTGACGACGAGTGCACGAGCGTCTGCTCTCCCATTCCCTTTTCCGAACAGGGTTTTTGTTCCCCCGCGACAGCTGCAAGCCTCCTCCCCTTTAGGTTACCTCCCAGTGGCCGCCTTTGAAGCTACACGTTCGACTCGGGGGCCAATTTTTTACGCAGAACCCCCCCCACCCCCTCCTTCGCCAGTTCGCCACCCGCCCGGGAAAAGAACTCCAGGAACATCGGTGTTGCTGTTGTTGGGGGGGCGGGGGTCCTCATTTCGAGACGTAATCACACATTCCTACAATCGTCATGGGCCGGGGGGCTGCGGGGGGGATGAGATTTCAAGAAGCCAAAAAAACCACACACACTACCTTTACCTGCAGGAACCTTTCATTATGGAATTTTTGGGCATTGGAACTTTGCACCGCCAAGAAATCAAGTCGCGTTGATGTACCAAGTCAATTGTTTAATGCTTTAATTAAAACACCCAGCATCTCATAAAGTGGTAGATTAACCTAACCAAAGAGTATAGATTAACCTAATTGGTGTCATGCTGAAAGCACCTTAAAAAAATTGCTCATGTATTTTACAACCTTGGCACATTCATCGAAAAAAGTGGACGTTTTTTAAGTACCCATGAAAGATCTTTTGGCTTGTTTCCACCTGAGCACTGAGAAAGAAAAGGCATTCATTTTCACACGAAGAGCCACACACTCAGCCATATCTGGCCAGTGCATCTCTCCTTAATGTAGACTCATTGAAATCAGCACCTGCACGCGCAGTCATCAATCATGCCTGCCGCAGCCAGCGGGCCCTCCAGTTATGCCCAATCACATTATACTGAATAATCAGCACCTGCGGGGGAGTTCTAGCTTATCAAACAGCACATTTTGGTTGTGCTTAAAAAATCGAGTGTCCATAAGCTACCATTATCATATTTTACCACTGTTGTAAAATGTTCTGAAATGTCGAAAAGACAACGCAAGGACAAATCGCACACCAGTGGCCATTAATTTTGCCTTAATGCTGAGCTTAGCTCACTGGTGGCAAATGAGTGTCTCAACAAGGAGCCAATTTATTTATAACCGGGATGGAAGCCTATTAAGACACTGTTATATTATGTGGACAATATAATCATATTGACGTGGGATAAACCGTCGTTGCAGGTGCGATGGTCATGGTCGACACGATACTGTACATTTATGTTAAATAACATGTTCCGCTAATTGTTCCTGATCCTTTGTAAGTACACGTCTGGTGCTGGGGTAATGGTGGATGTGGGCTGACACGCCAACTCAATTCCAGGTGGGTGGCTAATAAGGTCCACAATTCCAGCCGATTGTTTGGGATTTGTTTTCACACTCCCGAGACCTTGTTTTAAAAAATATAAATTGGCCCCAACGGAGCTTCCTCAAGGCTAAAACCAAACCAGTCTGCAATGAGTACCTGCTTGCTGCTTGCAATAAACTTAAAAGCAGCCACGTGTCTCTCTTTTGTTCATGGTATTCGGAATATATTTTTTTTAAAGCACTCAAGGCAAGAACTTCTCCGCCGTACAAAAACTAGATAACTAAATGAGATAAAATAATTATTTTTCACGAGACCTGGGAATTGGTAAAAGGAAGTGAATGTAAATGCAGCATTGTGCTCATAAGATAGTTTAGCTTTTGGCTGCATTATGCCACTGATGGTCTCCTCTTGCAATGTCACGTAATTTTTTTTTTTATGATTTAGTCTATGACCAAATCATCATGATTGCACTGGACATCGTCAGATCCCAGCAGCTAGGGAAAGCTGAGCCTCGTTAGTACTTGTGTAGTGGGTTAACGGAGGCAGACACTTCTAACTTAGAGGAAACACGTTTATTATACACCCAAACAGGGTAACGTCATAACTATATACACTCTTGGTGGGGTAACGACATAGGGTGGTGACCACCATGGGCAACTACTTAGCCACTTAACAGACTCACTATATAATTAGACCAGGTCAGCTAATGCGTTGCCTGGTCCACGATGTCGTGCCCGAAGAGTGAAGAGCGAAGATCCCAGAGAACAGCCCCGCTTGGCTCACAGGACCCCCTTCTTATCCCCTTGAGTGTGGCCTTGCTCCTTCCTTGGCCACGCCCCCTTCGGGATCTTCCCAGAAGGTTCTGGGACCTCACATCACATGTCCCCTCGGTCCCCTTTCTGGCCCCCGTCCTTATCCTCTCCTGGTCACGTGCCCTTTCGGGTTGACCCAGCCTGTCCCGTATGCCATACGTACTCTGGTGACAGAGAGAGGCTCTAAGATGCACAGTTACAGTCTTCTCTCAGTGGCTAGTGCTAACACCACAGTGACTCAATATGCGTCACTACACTTGGATTAATGAACACCAGGACTTGCCAGGTGTTGTAGATGCGGGGCTCTTAGGAGTGACCATGGGATGGACGTACTGTGTGTTACCCCCTCTGATGTGTGGTGGGGTTTCTCTTGGCTCTCCGGTTTCCTCCCACATCGAACCAAACAAACATTAAATGGCATTGGCCAAACATCCCAATGCATCAGCACCCTCATGAAAAATAATCTAGAGGTGCAGTGACGCTCTCCTGAGTAAATAATCGCCGTTGTGATTAAAACGTGCATCATCAAAGGCAATGCTCTTCGGCAAAAAAAAAAAAATCCTCCCGGCTTCGGTCTGGCGCTGGCAGTGGAATTGAAAACACCGACCGCGGGCAAACTGGCTTCAAAGCGCGGAGCTTACCAACAACCGAGTGATGCAAGCCACCACAAAACGAACGACGCACGTCCGGGTTCTTTATCCTCCTCCTTACCCACCGCCCCCCCCCGCCCTCCCGACGCACAAGCCACAACCGACGTGTCGCGAGTACTCACTTGCCACCTCGAGCGACGCGTTGCGGCTCACGGCCTCGCCCAGGTAGTTGCGCGCGACGCACACGTAGCTGCCCTCGTCCGTCTTGGTGCGCCGGCCGTGCACGATGCGCAGGAAGAAGAGCGAGCCGGTGGGCAGCAGCATGCGGTGCGAGCGCGGGTCATCGCGGTCGGTCTCCACGCGCTCGCCGTCCTTGTACCACTCGACGGTGGGCGCCGGGCGCCCCTCCGCCTTGCAGTTGAGCGTGGCCGGCTCGCCGCGTGACACGATCAGGTCCGACGGGTGCTCCGCGATGCGCGGGGGCGCGTCCTCCTGCCGCAAGCGGGACCCTGGGAAAGGAAAAGAGTTGCGGGCGGGTGTGTTTGCGCAGCTACAATTTGGAACAAAAAATATTTTCAATCTACATTTTTAAGCGCATAGCTCCCGTGACTTCCCAAGGTCAGAAGGAAGAGCATTCCAGACGGCCGCAAAGAAGGGCATCTGAAAGCGCGCGATGCGGCGACCGCCTTCGATCACCAGCCAAAAGTCGCCGCTGCGAGGATGACCGGAGTTTCGCGGGATGGTTTGTGCTTCTCGACGAGGTCATGAGGAGGTGATCGCGTTTAAGAGTTCTGCAATCGCTTGCTCACACCACTGTTAGTGGAAGAGCCTCCACTAAGGGGTTGCGGGGAAATAAAATAATTATTTTCCAGAGGGCAGCCCCAGACTGCTCTGGCTGAAATTAAGGCCCGCGCACAAATAATTGAGCATTACCAGAAAATGTCAAGCTATACATTTCAATTAAAAAATGTTGTTTTTGATGTTCTCACAAATCATCTTTGATCATGGCTTGTTTGAAGAAACATCTGATCTCTTGTTTTGGATCAGAGAGATGTATACAATGTTTTCTTCAATATTATTACGCTACACTTTGACGCACATTCACATACGCACACAAGCACGTGCGTACGATGCCTGCGGTATGGCTCCTGGTTCAATAAAAAATCATCAATCACCGCGTTCGACTGTAATATCCATCTGCGCTTAGCTGTGGTTTTGTTTGTTATGCTTTCCATTCATAGGGCACAAAATGAGTTGCCAATTATGGCACAGTAATGCCAGCATAAACTGCACTTTGATCAAAGCCCATTTGGTGTGTGAGCAACTGTAAAATTCTGGACCCGCCAATACCCTTTATAGGCCTCGATGAAGGCGTAGAATGTAAACAAACATCGGCTGGACTGGACAATCCATGCATGCGAGAATACGGTTCACACAAAATAAAAATGCTGAAAGCAAGCCGTTACCGGGTTGACGGCTTAATTAAGAGATGCAATCCAATAAGTCATCTTTGAAAGTCCTCTCGCATGATACGTGATAGAATTTTGACCATCAAACCACACCCATGCGGTGGCTTTTGAATTAATAACCACCGATGAAAACTTGAGATAGCTCGTTGGCTTGACAGTGCAGCTTCTCTTTGATCATTCACACTCCTTTATATTCCATTAACTCTTGCCTTGACTGTCAGATCAATATGGATAAGCACTCTAATTTCCTTGGTGTGGGATTCAAAGAGATCATTATTGATGTTAGAATTTCAATTAAACACCATTTTAAAAACTCTCCACTAAACAGGATGATTGTCAGAGATGCTGTTGTCTTTGCCCGTGGCAAGCTTATTTACAGTCACCGGGGCAAAAAAAAATAATATTCCGAAAGCCAATTATGAGCAGTGTGTATCTGGAAGAGCTTGGGGGAAATCTGAATCTGCAATTGAATTGCGGTCGGGGAATAGTTCAAACGTTAAATATACAAGCACGTATTCCTTTAACGAGCCCAATTTTAGTCACTAAACGCCACTCTGCATTGGCTTCAGTGAAGAGCTGCAAGCCTCACTTTGAAGCACGCGCACGAGGCCTGAAATGAGCGCTGCATCTATCAGAGGCACCGCTCGTTCGCTGAGCCGAGTTTGTGATGTGACCGGGCGCTGATGGAAAAAAAATGCCTGAGTGTGCCCTCCAAACGACGCGTTCTTCGGGAAGCCTGGCACGAAGTGGGCGTGTGCCAGCTGTACGCTGGGCTCGGATGGATCGCTGCCAGTTCTAAATAATCTAATCAGTCGGCGTGGATTTTGTTTTGTTTGACATAATCCATTTCTGCGAGTCTGCCCTCTCCCAAGGCTGTGGTTTTGTCTGTTATTGCGCATTGAGTTGCCAAAGAGAATGAAGGAAGGGGGAGGGCGGGGAAGCCCCTGCCAATAACACCACACACAATCAACCCGTCACGAAGTGTACTTTGATCGAAGCACTTTTTGGAATTTCAGTAGCTCAGCAACATACAAAAGTGTACGCAGTGACTCTTAAGAGGACAGGCCATTAGTAAAGTGGGATAGAAAAAAACCCTCTATGGAGAAAAATGTCACCACACGCTTATTTCACCTTCCAAAATCCAGCTTCAGTGAAATACACTTTGGGCGATGGTCCTGCATCCTGGAGATGAATGAGAGTGGACTGATGTACATACAAAGAAAGCATTTCAGAAAATTTCACTGAGATCCACGGAAAATTGTCGATGTTTTTTTTTTTACACTTCACTGGCTTTAGCTGGTTTGCGGCCGGCACGTGGCTAACATTTTAGGTCGTGAGGAGCTGCCCTGGCGTCCGCTGTTCCGTTGCTGTTTCAATTTGCCGAATAGAAACACTGGTAGAAGTGCTTTCAGAGCTGCGAGTGTTTAACTTGCTGTCATTCAGCACTTCACCTGTTGGATAAACACAGCGACCGAGCTTTCCCATGCCGGATTGGCTCGTGATCCGTGTGCCCGCTCTTGGCTTTGCACACGCACGCACACACACACACACGCTCGCACACGAACGCACGCACAAAAAAAGAAGAGCCCACCCCATTCGCACCAAAACCTTGAGCTTCTTGAATGCCCCAAGCAAACACAGCCCCGGAATTCTACCAGCTCACGAGGAGTGTTTGGAAAAAGCTAACTGGCGCACCTGCCTTCTAAAGTAAGCCACAGCCGTGGCCTAGAAAAACACCGGGCCACCGAGAAACAATGTCAGTTGTTTCGATTGACCGACTGCAACGGACGCCAATAAAAATATATATAATGCGCCATTCAAGAGGCTAGCAAACGACCTTTACAGTAAACTTGCCGTCTCGCAAAGGATGGATTACCATTCGTGTAAGTAACAAAACTATTATTCGTACAATTACCAGCACGTGAGGTCACGAGGCGTGAGGCTCTGGCTAAAGGGTTTAGGTGTATTCATTGACCGAACTTTTTGGCACATTTCATGATGTATCGTTTTATAAATTTGGAATTCATTACTTGCTAAGTTTTCCATGTACATATAAGAAATGCAACGCAATGCTCACCGTGAGTTTGTTTATCACAGCCAACCGTTGTGGATGCCGTCGAAAGGAACGGTTTCGGCACTGTGTGCACTTCACATATATTGTTTCCTCTTTGCCACTGACACTTCGCCTTGTAAATTGTCCGCTATGACAATTCAACGCAGCTGACTTTGGGCAAATTAAGAGCGACCTGCGAGCGCAGCGGCTGGGCAGTCGTGCCCTTCTGGCAGCGGATGCCAAGTTGGCAACGCGACATTATTAAATGCGCGTTACGCGCACAGGACTGCATACTCGCACACGCGACAAACCTCCACAGATACAGCAAAGCCCGCATTATCTCTTCCCCTCGGGAGGTCCTGGGGTCTGGCCCTAATCCGTCGTTAGTGCCGCCTGGCAATACTCGCGCCCTGACGCGGACGTAGTGCTCGTAGCGCTCTTAATCGCGTAAAGAGGAAAAGCTGCCAGATGAGCTGGTCGGAGGACGTGGATGCATGTGGGGAGCGGTGGCGCAGCGGTTAGCAGCGCTGCGCTTATGAACCCGGCGACCCGAGTTCGATTCCCGCTCACGGCCACCAACACCAGTGGTGATTATCCGAACCGATCCTGGGCCTCCCCCTAGGTCGACTCAGCCTCAAAGAAATACCTGGTGTGGTGCGTGAAAACTTCGCCACTAGGGAGACAAAGGCGGTCAGGCGTGGTGTTGGCTAGCCATCCCCTTGTGTGCCGTTCCAGCCTTTATAGGTGCTCGATAACAGCACTCGCCTTAACAGTCTGTTAAGGCTATACGGAGGATCTTTGCCTTTGTCTTTAATGCGCGGATAAAGTTGCCTGTTGTCATGATCACATGGCCAGATGCTACTGCCCAGACAATGCCTATGGCCCTCACCTCGTTGCGTCTCGGGAGCTAAGTAGGCTTGGGCCTGATTAGTGCTCAGGTAGGCGACCACCCCCGTGTGTCTCAGGTGTTATAGGCACGGGGCTGTTGAGACTACGAGGTGCCAGTGGATTGCAGCAGGGCAAAATGGCGCGGCTCATGGCTAGGTTTTAGTTGAATCACCAGACCGAGTCTGGATTTCTATAGAATATATTTGCATGGAGCTTCTGAGTGTTACCCTATTGTATGCATGGGTTTTTTTTTCCTGGCTCTCCAGGTTCCTCTCACGTGAAGTCTAACATCCCAATGCAGAACCCTCCTGAAAGTCTTAAGATTCAGTGATGGTTTTCCTGGACGTATCGTTTGCATTATTATTATTACCACTACTACTACTACCTCATATTCCAAGGGAACAAAAGGTCACCTTTAAAGGAACTGCAGCTTATTACGTGGCTCGAACATAACTGGAGGACAGTTTTGAAGCCACCATTGTGGCTCCGAAATGGACTTGAATTTGTGCCACATTACCACGGTTTTACTGAAACAGCCTGTTCTGTTTGAATGGTAGAAAGAGGGCATCAGCATTTTTTAATTGTCAGTGCAGTCTTGTATATGTTTTCAAACGAAAATAAACCTGAGATATACGCTCCTACATTTTAATAAGTGGAATAATACATGTTACCTTATTAATTTGTTATCACTTTGCTCATATTAAAAAAAATGGATAACACACGCATCTCTCAAAAGCTGAATTTTTTGCCATTTTTTATTTCACCAGGTAGGGCCCACTAAGCTATATCACTCTTTTTCAGAAGCGACCTGGCCACAAATGATAGCTCAAATAAGTGGCTTCATCATGTGGAAATGTATAGCAGCCAAATACTTTAAACGCATGTTTCTAAATGTGGAGGAGCCAACTGGAGGACCTGGAGAAAAATCCACGCGACCATGGGGAGAACATACAAACTCCAAATACACAAGCATCAGGGTCGGGATCAAACTCACAACCTCCTGTATACCGGGCGAGGTAGTTAACACCTCTCCACCACGGCACCACCAAAGCTGCGAGCTGTTGCCTTCTGTGAGCCACGGGGACGTGAATTAAAACAA